CTGGATCTTGGGAGGTTTCTGGAATGTGGATATGAGGAGTCAGACTCAATAAGATCCAGGTAACTGAATTAGTAGAAAGTGTTATTATGATTTCATTTTTTAAAGTAAGTCTGGTATGTCCATGATACTTAGACCTTGGTCATTTTTGCATTGACGAAATTGAGATTAATTACTGGCTTCTGCCAAAACCTGAACATACGGTTAATGACAATGGAGAATACTTCTATTTTGAAAAGAAACCATATCAACTGTTCTAAAATCTAGATGTTTAATTAACAAAAAATCTAAGCAATATATAAAAGATAACAATTAGTATCAGAAGCCCTAACTTTTGTTTATTTGCTTTCTAGTTATGCACAAAACTACACAATGGGATATCTGGTATAAAAACCCATATTCTTGTGTTTTTAGACTGGTCTTTGCTCTTATTCTTTCCAACTGTTCGTAACTTTTGAAGTACTATCTTTCTTACTTTCATTTTCATGATTTTGAAAAACAAATTTTTAAACATTTAAGTTGGAGCCTGTCTCTCAGTGGCACAGCAATAAGTCTGTGAACACTGTAGTACTGAGGAGAATGATATGGTCAGTATAAATACTACGCATGGAAAATGTGTCACCTTCTTATTGGTGGAGGGCTAGAGTCTGATTGTACAATACAGACTGGCACAGTTACACGTTATTACGTATAAGAGTGGGAATTTCATTCAAAAGTGTGGCACAAAATTTTCATCACTGACACAAGATATTAGTTCTGTTTTTTGGAGGCAACACAAAATTTTCATCATTGCACGAGATATTAGTTCTGTTTTTTGGGGGCAACACAAAATTTTCATCATTGGCACGAGATATTAGTTCTGTTTTTTGGGGACAACACAAAATTTTCATCACTGACACGAGATATTAGTTCTGTTTTTTGGGGGCAACACAAAATTTTTATCATTGGCACGAGATATTAGTTCTGTTTTTTGGGGGCAACACAAAATTTTCAACACTGACATGAGATATTAGTTCTGTTCTTTGGGGGCAACCCAAGATTTACAACAGTGGGACGAGAGATATTAGTTCTGTTCTGACGTTTGTTCTTCCTTCCCTTCTGTACTTTCTAGTGCAAGGTTTCCCAGAGGGTAATTAGTTAGGAAAGCTAGAACAAACATGAATGTGAAATATAAAAAAGGGGCAGAGGCTTTTTTTTGCTTATTTAGCTTACCCACTTTTACATTGTCTTTACAGGCTTTCAACTTTCCTGTAACCACTTCTTTTTTTATATGACATCTTTATACCATGATACCTTTATATCATGATACCTTTATACCATGACACCTTTATACCATGATACCTTTATACCATGACACAATTATACCATGATACCTTTATACCATGACACAATTATACCATGATACCTTTATTCTACATTTTGTTTTTGTACATGTGAAATAATCTGATTAAGCTGGTAAAGAACAATAATTGGAAAACTTTGTAAATTTATTTAGTGAGAGTTAACTTCTTTAGAATGTTAGAAATATTAACCATATTAGTATAGTTATCACGTACATGACAGAATGGATACTTTATGTTTGTCATGTTTGGAACACATCATCTCTACATTTAATAAATAAGAAAAATAATTCATCAGAATTCAAAATATTTCTTTCTTGTTTATTTTTATTATAGCACAAAGTTCCACAATGAACTATTTGCCCTATGTCCACTGAGCTTACTGCTGAACAACCAGAAAGTCTGTTTGTTTTTTGAATTTCGCGCAAAGCTGCACGAGGGCTATCTGCACTAGCCATCCCTAATTTAGCAGTGAAAGTCTAGAGGGAAGGCAGCTGGTCATCATCACCTATCATCAACTCTTTGGCTACTCATTTACCAACAAATAGTGGGATTGGCCATCACATTATAATGCCCCCAAAGCTGAAAGGGCGAGCTTGTTTGGTTGGAAGGGGATGCAAATCCGCGACCCACAGATTGTGACTCAAACACCCTAACCACCCAGCCATGCCAGGCCCACAACCAGAAAGACAGTATTTCTTGCCATTACCAAAATATACTTATTTACTTCTCAAAAACACCCTTTTATATTTCATTTAATGGAATTTAAGTACTTCATTAGTTTTAAATTCTTTTTTTACTTAGATGTTACACTGAAAATAGCGATAACAATTCTTAGAGAGAATTAGTCTGATACACAGTAAAATTCAACAGTACCAATAAAACTTCAACAAAATTTTCAAAAGGAAACTATTTTATTTATACATATACATACATATATATATATATATAATAATAAATTACAGGTACAGGATTTTAAGTCTGTAAAAAAATCTAATGAATCTAAACATACTAGTAAACAATACAGAATACATTTTGTTTTTGACACTAATGAATTTAACATATATTTTTTCTACTTTCAGATCATTCTCTGACCCAACTGGACGGCTCTCTTTCTTTTATATTGCTATGAGAAAGGTGGAAGTCTTAAAATACAGAAATATTTTATGTTCACTACAACCTACATATAGAGGGGGTATCTCATACAACTCTTTTGAACTATTAAAAAAATGTTTTAAATACTTTTGTGGTGAATGCTTGCAGGGTGGAAGATCTTAACAACAATTTTAGTAACATATGCACAAGTTAACAAGATTGTTTGTTAAATGCCAAGTTGAAACTTTGTATTAGTGTATGGTGACAATGACTCTACACACCTCTTTAGTAAAAACGTAACAACAGTAACTATATATTATGTTTTAAACATTTCTCTAGCTACATGTTAAACATACCATGAATGAGAAAAGATATATTACCAGAATGTGTGGTTCGAGTCCTGCATTTTCCTTAACGTTTCTTTGAAATCAGCCATAAAAATTCAAAATCAATTTACATCACATTTCACAATTACTCTAAAATATGTCATTTCCAGGGCTAATATTATATAAAATGTTGAACTGCACAATGAGTACCCTCTAAAATGTATTTTCTCAGTCCTATGATACTAACACATCAATTTTTGTTAACTAAATTGTTTGAGCTACAGGTTTTTTTTTTGATTTCGTACTTTGAGAACATTATAACTACAACATGAAACAAGGATTCAAAAAGCAAGTTATAGCTTCTGACTACTTTCAAACAGATCCTAACAACTGTGAAACTATTTTAATAAATTCAGAATCCTGCTCTTGAATAAAAAATTACAACAAACGTTTTATGATAATAAAAACTGTATAATTCTAAGGTATGATAATCATTTCACGCATATTCTTCAAGTACATAGGTCTCCACTCAACTAATTCAAACTTTATCTTAATGTTGTATTATTTTTATTATGGGTTTATAGATGGTATTGTTCATTGTGATAAGTTACAATGAACTCACATTGGAGTTGAGGTGATATACAATGTTTATGTTAACATTTGTGAAAGTCAAATTTAACATTTCTATACTTAAAAATTTAAATGTTAAACAATTTCAAAATGGCAACGTGAAATTAAACCTAAGTACTGCTTTTGAAATGATTATGTCTAGGAAAAAAATGAAGAAGTCTACAGCTTAATAATCCAGGTTTTAACCCCATGACAGGAAATCAGAATTTCACACCATGGAAGTCCAAGATTCCACATTGACTTAGGAAGCCCAGGATCTCACCCCAGGACAGGAAATCTGAATTTCATTCCACATAAGAAATTCAGGATCGTGCCATGAGTTAGGAAGTCCATGATTTCACTTTGCGCGAGTCTCAAAAGCACTACCACAATGTCACTGAATGTTAACCACGTATAAAAATAATCACAAAACAATACAATTGAAATCTAAGTTCAATTGTATATTCAAATCATGCAGATGCTTAATTTTAAATTATATATTAACATTTAATATTACAAATTCTTATGGATATGGTTGAAAAAAATCACAATGTAATGAAAAATGCTCATTTTTATATGAACTGTTGCATTTATAATAACTAAATAATGAACTAGCTGAAGCAAATACGTGTGTTTAATTCTTGTTAGCAGGATATTTTATGTAACTGTAGTTTCAGTTACTGACTGATATAGCAAACAGACAATACATGTTTAATTATTCACTGTAAACAATGTAACTATTGAAAACATACAAATATGGATACTTTTTTCAAGTTTCTGATATCAAACAGAATTATTGTGTACTACAATTAAAAACAATATTGTTAAATGATATGACTTACCATTCTTGTTTTCTCTTCTTTTATTTAGGTAGTTAAATAATCTCTACAAGGTTCAGCTTAACAACCTTGTTTTTTTTGTGTTAAGAACAAAGCTACAAAATGAACTATCTCTACTCTGCTCAATACAGGTATACAAACCCAATTTTTAGTGTTATAAGCCATTAGGCTTACTGCTGATCCACTGGAAGATGGTTTAATAAAGACCTAAAATAAAGTACAAAGGCCTTTACTTAAGCCTATTCAATGCTACTTTGTATTATACAAGTCATTTCACATAAACAATTTAATATAAAAGGTTTTCTCCATGTGCAGTGTACGATTATAAAATTTATACTACACTGATTTATTCTATATAATATATGCTGTGTCAGAATTTCATAACAAGTGATGGTATGAATTTAATAAAGTTATTACGGCACGTAAAAGTAGAAATGGACTCTTAAGTTTGTCAGAATGTCCTATTAGTTTTTCTTTCACGTCTAAAATAACTGAAATATTATATTAAATTATTTTTTATCACATTTCTATATTTTTAAAGAAACAAAGAAAAAAAAACAACTGAGGGAAAATTTACAAGAAGTTGTGGTAAAGCTAAGTAATCTACCAAATATAATTTCCAGGCTCGGTAGAAAACACACAAACAACTTTTTCTGTTTAGTTCATTCTTCAGAATCCTGTTGCTATCCAAATCTTAGAACACAAACACAATGTCCTGAAGTACATTTAGATATTTAAAGCTAAGTAATCTACCAAATATAATTTCCAGGCTCGGTAGAAAACACACAAACAACTTTTTCTGTTTAGTTCATTCTTCAGAATCCTGTTGCTATCCAAATCTTAGAACACAAACACAATGTCCTGAAGTACATTTAGATAAGTACACGGACATCTCAAAAGTAAATAGACATCATGATGTTTATTCAATAGTAATTTATTTAAGAAAGGCATCCAATGGCTCCCATGGCCAAGTCAGTCACCTGATATGAACTGCATCGAGCATGTCTGGACCATACCTGCTTGAGCAGTGAGAAGAAGTTCCAGAAAATCAGCATCCCGTGGAGAGCTACTTGATGTTTTGCGTGCAGCCTGGGTCAAGATTCTACAGGAGAAAATTACAGAACTCGTCGATTCCATGCCAGAACGAGTCAAAGCACTGAATAATGCTAGTGGCAAATTGACTAAGTACTGATGCACATTTGTAAACATTTTTATCAAGTTGATAATGTGAGATCAATGACGATTGAAAAAATCATGGTGTCTATTTTCTTTTGAGATGTCTCTGTATACAAGTAAGAGACTAACTATCAACAAGTTCTCAAATGAAATTACTATCTTATAGTCCTGTATTATAATTAGTAAACACTGTTTTGGAATCAAAGATAACAACTACTGTATTATATATCAGTGGTTCCCAACTTTTTCCCAACTTAGTTCCGATCCTAAAATGTTCACGTACTGCTTTGCAAAATGTTAACTTTTGGTTACATTGTACAACAATATACTTCAGTAGCTGTATTTTAAAGTACAAAATTTTTCTTCAATGCCTTGTGGACTGGCTGAAATCTCCCTGTAGACCAGCACCAGTCAACAGACTTGGTGGTTAGGAACCACTGCTACAGTTCTTTTATTTAAAGGAAGAGAAAAAAAATTACAACAAAGTTATAGCATAAGGTTACAATCTACAATGTGTCTTGCATTTACTTAAAACTATTTGCTCCCAAAATACAAAAAGAAAGCTAAATCAAAAATAAAAAGTGAAATATTTTATAAAATTTCCAAAAATGGTTTTTTTTTGCTTCTCATGATCGTTTATATTTAAGTAAACTCTAATAAAATAAGGAGAAGCTTTTGTTCGAAGACTTGCCAGAAGAATAACATTAATCGGGTTTAAACTTAAATTCATAAGTTTGTCAATGAATTAAAAGTTCTAATGTAGACATTCATAACCCCTACCTTTAAATCATTATAGCCCCTTTTGTTTTACTCTGGTTCATTAATTTGTAAACAGAATAGGAAAATCAACTCAATTACTTACGAGCATCAATCAGTAAATGTCACTTGAAATAATCAATTAATCAAGATTATGATTAAATTGATTAATGTTTTAAAAATAAACAACTAATCAAAAATTAGTGTTTCTGATTATTACAGTTTTCAATTACTCCAACTATCCAAGTAACTGAAGTATTTCCATTGTTATTTCTCATTAATATTTTGATTAATTCAAGGTTGTTCAACTTGATAGATTAGTATACCAACTTATGAAAATAACCAAATAATCCAAATTAGTGTTTCTGATTATAATTACTGTTTTTGACTATTCCAACTATCCTATATGAGAATAATTGATTAGTTGAATTTAAAGGAGTATCAGTGATGTAGCCACATATCAGCCCAATACTTCAACAATGCTGTAAAGGAGTATCACTGATGTACCTACATGTCAGCCCAATACTTCAACAATGCTGTAAAGGAGTATCACTGATGTAGCTACAAGATAAAATAAGCTATCCATATGTCAGCCCAATACTTCAACAATGCTCCAATGTAAATGCTAGTTTACAATGTGAAGTATTAATTTCAGGATGCCAAGCGATTACATTATGATTTTTATACTAAGCTAACTTTGAAACATGTAAGGATAGTTTTTAAAATAATTTTCAACATATGATATTAGATACACATCCGTTAAACAAGTGTCAACAAGAGAAGAATATACGTAAGTAGCTTTGTTTTTCTCAATATTAACTTAACAACAAAATGAAATATTCCTTCCATATCTTATCATGAATGTAATTCCAAGTGATAATATTATCTGTTAAAACAAAGACAAGCTCAAGAATACTTTACTAAGCCTCCTTTTGATATAGATGAGAACTTCTTATCCAGTCCAGTACAGTAAAAGTTTAAACTTCTTGGACACAAAAGAGGAATAACTAGGTCGTCAATACATTATACAATCCTGTGCCTTATGGCTTATAACAAAAAAACTACCTAATACTATCAGAAACAAATTCTACAAACAAAATTCCAAAATCCTTCACGTGGCTACTGAATGAAATTTCCAGTTTGCTCCTGATAAATAAATAAAGGTCTACCTTTCAAACATTGTCAAGTTATAGTTCTTTATTTTTGTCTACTTGATTTTTTTCTAACCAATGTGTTTCCCTAACATCACGACTGAAATACTATTAGGACCTGACCTAAAGAAATGTAGATGAATTTATTGTTGTTCACAGTAATTCAGTAAAACCTGTCAGTGAAATGTGTGATCACAATTAGTTCCACCACAAATAAATAACGGACGAGTATGTGTAGCTACATCTGTCTCAGCTTTTGTTTCACTTCAGCACTATGAAATTCACTAAAATACTATTGCCTCTTCTGAAGAGAGAATGTCTAAAAAATATAGATGATATTCTACAATCACAAGTCAATAATGAACACCCACCAAAGACTTTTTTTATGACCGAGGAGAGAAGGAAACCTGAAACTTTCATGTAGTATATCCTTGATGCAGAATTTAAATTGATTAAAAACAATTTAAATTTAGTTTTTAATATTTTCTACAAAAAATTTAGGTTTTTCTTGACAATTGTAGAAAAATAAAATATATTCCTTATAACTACAATAATGATGAAACCTTATAACTGATTCCACATATATCAACAGCCTGAGAAAAGCCCACCCCGCAAAGCAAAATATACCAAATATCCTAAAAACTCAAATGAGAACCATACAGTAAGTTAAGTTTAGAGATGGAGAATTTCTTAATTACACTAGCTCATTAGCAAATATATTTCCTATTTGAAACTTTTGGTAATGTTATTTCACTGTAAAAAGTATAGTTCAGCACCCTACACTCCGACAGTATGAACACTAGTTAAACATGTTTTTACTACTGGATACATTCCTGTAGGTCAAAACTCTGGGTGCCTTGCCTGGTCATACACTGTGCTTCAATACTGGTATATTCTAATACAGGCCTCGACAAATCCATGGTGCCAGGTCGCCATGCCGATTAAAAATTTCATCGTGCCACCAAATATTTTCTCCCATTTGATTCGTGCATAGGGCTGTGCTAAATAGAATTTGAATCTAGAACATTTCTGGACTCTTGGAAGTCTGGAACTATTTTCCCGTTCTTTGAGTCTTAAATCAAACTTTGTTTTAGGATTTTAATGGTGGATTCAGCACTTCATGTTTTTCAGGAATGAAGCTTTGCGGTTGTACAACACGTTTCTAGTTTAGCGCCAATTTGTTTTTCTTCTTTCTCTCAATTCAACCAATCAATGCTCGTGTTTAGACTCAGACAGGACCAAAGGCAATACTATCAAGTTGTTATTAATATCATGTGATCGTTAGCAGGCACTTGTTGCTGTGAAAATAAATAAATATATATAGCCTCCATTTCCCGGTACAAACATTAGTAAAGTTAGATTAGGCACACCTGGCTCCTGAATTTTCGAGCTAGCTCCTAAATCTGAAAATATTTGTCGAGGCCTGTTTTAATAAGAATTTGTTGAGTAGGAATGATGTCTAAAGGCTTCAGTAACCTATTCTTTCCAGCACCTGAAGAATACAAGTATCGTATAATCTGGGCTAATCTGACCAACTTAAATAAGTTTTTATATTCAGAGGATTGACTACAGTTCTAGCATTATTATAACACTTTTAACTCTTTCACTGAAAATAAAGACAGTAGCCAACAAAGTTTCTATAATAACCTCATTGTTAAAAGAATCTAAAAATAAAGTACTACCTACACTTTTCTGAGCATCTTGCCACATATTATTTCCACCAGCTGTACAATTTCCATTAAACTTTTAGTGCTAAAATTAAGATATTCCAAGTTCTGAGTAAACATGGCTGGTTAGGCTTAACATTTCAATTTAGATTGAAAAAAGAGCAAGTAATATTTATTGCATTAACATGCTTTGGTGTTCCCTCACTGCTCAGTTTTTACCTGCCATTAGTTTCTCTACCCTTGATAAAAAATGGCTAGCATCAGTCACTCTGAAAGTTCTTTTTGCCAGGTATTTTGTTTATATTTATAATTCCTTCACTCTTTTAAAGATTTTTTTAACATAAGCGGAAAAGAGCATTTACAATATCTCTGCAAAGCCTAGTTACTATTTGCTACTAACTAAATGAGTGGAGGAAATTTGAAGGAATGTTTTTTTTATACACAATTGAAAATAACATAAATAAACAAATAATTAATGTATTTCTTAACATTTTATCTGACTTCTGATAAATATTGGAATATTCTGTAATATTTTTAAGCCTCCATAGCCCAAAATGTACTTTAAAAAAATTAGAAACAATATTTCCTTTGACTAAATCCTAAAACCCTAGACACCCAAAAAAAACACTTAAAAACTGAAGGTCTAAGTTAATAAACAACAGCTAAAGCTATAACAGATTTTCTCGCATTTTCTTCTCCATATGTGAGCACCTTCAGATCATAAGTTATTTGTTATATAAACTACACCAGTGAACAAATAAAGTCTAAAAAAGAGCACAAATACCATGGTAAACACAAATAAATTAAGACAAAACAGCACATGTTTGTCTTTACTCAATTAAACAAACTTTTTTTTAAGAGTTAGCTTAATAGACAAAACTAGAAACATCTTATCACCTACACCCTAAAACTCATTCACATTAACACTAAGAAGAAAAAAAGTATCATAAATATACTTTGAGGAAAACTGAGAGAAGGGAGTTAAAACCTATTTTTTTCACCTCCAAGTTAACTATTTAAGATGTTCTAGTTTGTTTTTTTTTTACTTCTGTTCAACACCTTTCACAATTAGTGCTGCAGATTTTAAACTACCCTACATAATTTACATAAGGTCTTTTGTAGTACACAGTTCAATGTCATCTCGGTGTGCTGTTGCTAACAGCCGACTGTTCACTTGCAGAATTAAAGGTCGCAGCACTATGGGAAGATTGAAGACTTGACATTGACCCCCTAAAATAGAAAGTTATAACTGGTGAGTCTAGTCGCACGGGTGTGAAAACTTATTTCAAACAAAAACAACATAAAAGTTTAGTTAGAACAAAGCTGATAAACCTTGATTACATTTTACATTTCTCTTCAACAAAGCAGTTCAACTTTTTTACCTATAGAAGACCATAATTTTCTACTTATGAGACTTATCAGAATGAAAGTTTCCTATTAAAATTTGTCAATAAACTTTTTTTAATTATTAAACTTGAAACATGGTATGTTATTAACAAATGAATCAGTTATGGGGCCTGGATGTGGCCTTACTAACTAACTATTTTGGCATGAATTTGGGAATTAATACACGAAAATCAAGCAATTTCTTTTCTCCCTGCTTGTGGTATAAGGATATTACAATGCAAAGAAAAAATTAATAATTTATGATAAAAAATATACAAAGAAAGCAAAAAACAAGAGGTAATCCTCAATAGCCATGGCACTTAAAATTGGTTTAGGCAGGATTAAAGTAAATTAATCTATGAAACCTTTTTTCTTTTTATTAGCTATATTTTTGTGTGCTAACAATACCAAGCGTGAGGCACACATACACCCAATTCCTCATCAGGATCTCTATCAAACTGAAATTCTTTTAGGCAGGATTAGTGTAAATTAATCTATGAGACCTTGAGCGTGGTCAAATACATCAATCGAAATAACTTGACCTCCTTAGTCCAAAACTGTAATTAGATTTCAAATCGATCAAGAGATGACGGAGCTAAGAGCTAAAAGTTTATACTTGCAAAAAGAAAAAAACTGCTATGAGCTACTATGCCATGACTAATAACAATAACAGAATGTATATATCAATATACTTATTATATCCACTACAACAAAGCATGCTTTGTCTGCTTAACTACTATATATCATAAAACATAATAAGAAAGTTTCAACTATCATCTATTATTTGACACTTTTGTTGTGGAAACTAATAGACAAGTTTTTAACCATTACGAGTTTGTTCAATCAAAACAAGTAATCTCTTCAAAAGCACTTTAAGTACTTCAAGGATATTTTTCTCATTTGAACTCAGTTCTGTTAATCATTCTAAGTTATCCATCGACTCAAAGCTTTTAAAGAATATCATAAAACAGAGCTAATGATTATAAAACTCAGTTTCATTTGTTTAACAGCTTTTACTGAAAAAAATTTAAACATAACAGTTATAGCAATAAAGTATCTTCTCCCCCAGTATTGTTTGTTTAGAGCAAAGCTACATTGGGCTATCTATTGGGTCCACTGTGGGGAATCAACCTCCAGATTTTAGCATTGTAACTTCATAAACTTACAGCTGTCACACCGGGGGACCTCTCCAAGTAATATATCATTATTTCTTACATTTTTTTAAACTCCTAATAAATGTGCTTGTAGAAAATTACTCACTTGTAGTCCCGTGATTTAAGTAGTTCATAGTAGTACATAACCTTGGCTTTATGTTGATGCAAGGGGAAGTCAAAGGAATGATGATGATGTTGAGTGTCTAGGTGTCGCCACTGTAACACATAAGTGCCTTCCAAACTAGCCACATGAGTGCCCTATGCATTAGAACACAAAAGCTTTAAACAAAGTTCTTACAAAATTTAAAATTTAGTCATAATAATACACATTACAGTCCTAATAAAATCTTAATCTTAGGCGTAGATCACTCGAAAGGTTTATCTATAAAAAAAAAACAATTAAAAGAAGTAGAAGGCTGAAGTACATAAAACATACATTAATAGCTAAATCAGATATACACACTTCTCTTGTAGTAACTATCCGCACTCTTGCTTTATGTCATCATCAATAATACGCAGGACTGACTTTTATTAAAGTGCCTTTCCTATAATCTATTAAATAATCTTTCTTCAGTTTCAACGACATAACAACCGTTAACACATTCTAATCAGACGGCATGGTTGTAAGATAGACAAATGGCGGTGCTCTTCCATGTACTTACTGGTTGAAAATATCACCCATTGCCTTTCTGTACTCAATGCTCATTCAGTTGGAATAAATGATAAAATTTTCAACAAAAGTATCTTAGCCCTTTATAAGTTCTCAGATCATATTATCAACTAGTTATATTTCCTCAATCCCCTGATACTTAAGGTACCACAATCAACCTGTACATGTCAAGTGTTACTAATATATCTCTTAATTCCTTACGAGTTAGAAGGGGAAAAAATTACTGTAAGAATTTTTTTAAGATTATAATCTAAGGATGAATAACAAGGATGTACAAGGGATACTTCAACTAAGATGTACCGTGTCCAGTGTTTGTGTTATACATTAACACATTCCTCTACTTACCTGAACACTCTCCCCATCATGACATATGAGAAAAGGTTCAACTAAGATGTACCATGTCCAGTGTTTGTGTTATACATTAACACATTCCTCTACTTACCTGAACACTCTCCCCATCATGACATATCAGAAAAGGTTCAACTAAGATGTACCATGTCCAGTGTTTGTTACATATTAACACATTCCTCTACTTACCTGAACACTCTCCCCATCATGACATATGAGAAAAGGTTCAACTAAGATGTACCATGTCCAGTGTTTGTTACATATTAACACATTCCTCTACTTACCTGAACACTCTCCCCATCATGACATATGAGGGATGGTTCAACTAAGATGTACCATGTTCAGTGTTTGTGTTATACATTAACACCTTCCTCTACTTACCTGAACACTCTCCCCATCATGACATATGAG